CTGCCTTAGAAGCTGAAACATTCTTGATTTGAAGCTTTCGTGACTGCAGGAATCTTTACTCTTTGGTTCTTTCGGAAAAGTCACGTAGTTAGAAATAAAGAAACATTATCACGACGTTTCGATAGCAACACAAGCGATTGTGTTCAGGTGAAAGTCGCGATTGCCGCGATGTCTGCTGCCAGCAGCACGAGGCTTGTGTTGCTATCGACACGCCGTGATTGATTTTGTTTTATTTCTACCCACGTGACTTTACCGAAGGACACGTTCCTTCGGAGTGGGCAGGTAGGAACTTGGCTCAACCCATCCGGGAGGGGCGCACCTCTGGTTGGCTGCTGGCTCGTGATCACGTGACGCACTTCAACCAATCCGAAAGCGTACGTGTTTGGGAGGGGCCATGCCACGACAGACAGACAGACAAATAATCCCTGGTGGGCAGCAGTGCGGAACTGTTGTTCCTACCTGCTGGTACAAGATCACGTGACTTGAGGGTAGCCAGGCAGACAGCCCCTTCACTATCGGATCGGCCACCTCCCCTAGGCCCCTCCCCTGGACCCCCCCCTCCCCTCCCCTCCCCTTAGGCCCTCCCCTGACCCCCCCTCCCTTAGGCCCCCTCCCCTGACCCCCCCTCCCTTAGGCCCCTCCCCTGACCCCCCCTCCCTTAGGCCCCTCCCCTGACCCCCCCTCCCTTAGGCCCCTCCCCTGACACCCCTCCCTTAGGCCCCTCCCCTGACCCCCCCCCCTCCCTTAGGCCCTCCCCTGACCCCCCCTCCCTTAGGCCCCTCCCCTGACCCCCCCCCCCTCAGGCCCCTCCCCTGACTGACCCTCCTTCCCTTAGGCACCTCCCCTCTCCGTACCGGCAGGAGGTCTCCACCAATCAAAGAGCTGTTTATATTATATATTTATTTATGCACGACAGACAGACAAAAAATCCCTGGTGAGCAGTGTGGAACATATTGTTCCTACCTATATAACGAAAAATCAGTTTAAACAATTACTAAGAACTCGTGATCCCAATTATTGAAACAACTACCAAAAGCATGTTTTAAACATGACTTGGTTCCACCGAGATTTGAACTCAGATCGCAGGATTCAAAGTCCTGAGTGCTAACCATTACACCATGGAACCTTCACACAGAAACCTTGTTACACAGTCACACGAGAGTGGGTTCAATCAATTGTATTAAATCATTAAAACAATAATGCTGCTTCCAACTTTTTTTTAAGAATGAGTGGTTGCTGTTAAGAGATTATGAAGTTAGTAGGGCAAGTGTGCCGGTTATGGTTATTAGCACTCAGGACTCTAAATCCTGTGAACTATGTTCACGTCTCGTTTATAACCCCACCACGTTTAAAAAAAAATTCAGTAGTTTTGTCATTCAAATTACGAGATGTGAGTTTTAATTTGACTTCAGGATCTAAGGCAGCCTGACTGCTGAGCCAAAAGTGAGTGCTGTGCTCCCAAAATCACTCCACGTGACAACCACTAAATCTGCAATCACTGATCTGATTTCCAACTTCGTGCTCAATTCCGAGATGCCACGGTGACACCTGCCTATGTCCCCTCTGTCATCTTCACTTTTTCTCAATTCTCACGTGTGTAATGAGCCTGCTTCATCAGTTGGTTCCATGGTGTAATGGTTAGCACTCAGGACTTTGAATCCTGCGATCCGAGTTCAAATCTCGGTGGAGCCTGTGTTGTGCATTTTTTAAAGATTTGCTTCTAAATAAATTATTGGGGAGAGAAAAACGGGGTTTAACACGCACATTATTCACACATTTGGTAATGTTTTATGATTGTGTAAACGTATGAACAGGAGGCAGTACATCCATAAATTAAATCGAAGTGTGCGAGCTCAGGTTTGAGTGCCCTAGAACACGTGCACCAGAGATGGAGTGATTAAATAATCGTTGCTCCACAATCAATTGTTTCTTCACCCGATGTGAATTTGCGCAATGTGCGGGTATCTTCATCGGGCGGGTTGATAGATCGTGGCCGCAGGTTTTTCTTTTTAGCACCAATGAAGTGTTCTCAATAAAAATTTGAATCGATTAATCACTGACCAACATGCAGAGCTTAAGCCCTCTAAGGAGTTAGTGCAGTAAAGACTTTTATTTGTCTGAAGGCCATTTACGTGGAACTTTTCAGGGCGTTAAAGGCGAACTAGAAAACGGCGCCTGCTAAGGAATTGTGAACTGAGCTGTGGTGGGAGCTGTAGCATTGAAATCAGCTCTTGTAAGAGCAAGATGGGTTTCAAGAAAACTTACTAGACCCAAAGAAATTTAACTTGTCAAATAAGAACGAATACATTGATTGAACTCGACATGCGGAGACGTATTTATTGCGACACAAAAAGACACTTGGTTCCACCGAGATTTGAACGCAGAACACAGGGTTCAGAGTCCTGAGTGCTAACCATTACACCATGGAACCAACTGATGAACTGGGCTCATTACACAAGTGAGAATTGAGAAATAGTTAAGACAAATATAGCACAGAGGGGCGATGGGTTAGGTGAAATCGTGGCATCTAGGAATTGAGCACGATGTGGGAATTCAGATCAGTGATTGTGTAACGGGTTCCGGAGACACTTGTAGAGGTAACTTCTTTATTACAATACAACACTCCAACAGTCCAACTCTCCAACAGTCCTGATACTCTGTTACAGCCTAGGTACACAGCCTAGCTACACAGCCTAGATACTCTACTCTGGCTACGCTCCGGAACTCGCCCTCACAAGGTCGTAGAGTCGGAAGTTCCAGAGTCCCAGCGCTGGCTCTCACAGCATCCCAGGGTCTTCAGATGGCTGGTCGTGGGTCTTGGGTCTTGAGTTACAACTGGGCCCCGATCGTCCAGGGAGCTCTCCTTTTATGCCTGGTCCAACGAGGGGTGGGGCCGTGTGCGCCACCAGACATCCCACAGAGCACACACAGCCCCCCCCCCCCCCCCCGTTGGCGGCGACCAGAGGCTTAAGCGTCTGGACCCCCTGGGAACCCAATGCCTGGCGCCCAGAGGCTTAAGCGTCTGGACCTGCCCGGGAACCCAGAGCCCCCAGCAGTCCCTCCCTTCTTATGTCACTACATTACCCCCCTCTACGTAGCCTCCAGCCGTCCCGGCTGTCAATAATTAGAAAGTTTAAATTAACGAAAGGGAGAGAGAGAAAAAAAATACGCGAGCCTCAACAGGAAAAGAAAAGAGAACAAGAAAGCAACCATAAATACCATAACCAACCTGTACAACTCTACACTATATACAAGCATCAATCAACAAAAAGGTGAAGCAATGACACGTGAACAAACGACCCGCGGCACACCTAGCCCTCCTCGGGATCCGCATAAAAAACGGGGAATTAACAACAACAAATATACAGATTCCGACGCGTTGGATGCACAACCACCGCATGGATGGCAGGGTTCCACACCACCCTGCCAACCTCCCATCCGTCAGGTGGAGAGAAAAGGCGAAGACCAACATGTCGAGCATCCCTCTACACACACTTATCCGGACGTCTGTCTACGTCCCGGGTCGAGAAGTCGTACTTCAGGGCCGACCCATGTACTGGGCAAAGAAGTCGCACTTCAGGGCTGCTCCAGTATCTACATTTTTAAACATATATATAAAATTTACATGACACAACTAAAATAAATCTGCCTGCTCCTGTCCATAAATGGTGGCCGCACGCACGAACCGCATCTCCAAAAGGCATCCCGTGCTTGCGTCCCAGCAGCCCTCAATGAGGACCACAACCGATATTACATGTCAACCGTTAGCACCCCCGCCTTTCCAACGTGGCGTCTCCATCCTAAAACCGCGCACGTCGGCCATATCGGGGGCTTAAACCCAGTCTCTCTCCAAGACTCGCATCGCAGCATATAGCTGTACCGACCGATCTGAGACCCAATCTCTCTCCAAGACTCGCATCGCAGCATATAGCTGTACCGACCAATCTGAGACCCCAACCTCTCTCCAAGACTCGCATCGCAGCATATAGCTGTAATGACCGAGCTGAGGACCCAATCTCTCTCCAAGACTCGCATCGCAGCATATAGCTGTACCGACTGATCTGAGACCCCAATCTCTCTCCAAGACTCGCATCGCAGCATATAGCTGTACCGACCGAGCTGAAACCCAATCTCTCTCCAAGACTCGCATCGCAGCATATAGCTGTAACCGACCGATCTGAGAGACGACCCATTGTTCACTTCCTGCACAAATGCACCCTAACAACTGAGGGATACAGTCCCACGTAACGGGACAACTACACCTGAACACCACGAATCTCCAGCCCACTGTTTCAACGCGCCTTCGGAGTGTTTCAACCTCCGGGCCGTCAGGGTGAGCCTACTGCTCCAGATGCACCACGGAGGGTCTCAACCTCCGGGCCGTCAGGTCCAAGCCGTCAGCTACTCCATGACGGTGACCACACTCTCCGAGCCATGTGAGCGCACAGCCCACTAGGCTAGACATGCCACGGAGTGTTTCAATCTCCGGGCTGTCAGGTCAAGCCTTCAGCCATAGCATGACGGGACCACACTCTCCGAGCCATGTGAGCACACAGCCCACTAGGCTAGACATGCCACGGAGTGTCTCTATCTCCGGGCTGTCAGGTCAAGCCGTCAGCCATAGCATGACGGGACCACAACTCTCGTGTTAGATACGCAACACCCGCTGGGCCATCCTGGTCAGGATCTGCACCCCAAGATATTTGAGAGCCGCATGACAATTCCCATCCTTGGCAGCATGTCACCATCTCAAGATAAATGCCCCATACAGTCCTATACATCGTTAACAATGACAGCACAAGCTATACATTAACAATCACGAACAAAGCTCAATACAAACCATACATTGTTAACAATCACAAGCAAAGTTTCGCACACATTGACAACACTCACGAGCGAAGCTCCACACAGTTTACCCAACAACAATCACGACTCCCCGACGACAACGAAGAGAATGTCAACAAAAAAAAGCATTAAGCCGGAGCGCGTAAATGTACGAAATGTCAGGGGCCTGGTCTCCCGACCCTCCAACCTTCGGCCAGAGCAGCAAGGCGGTGACCAGCGTGTCGGTCGATGTGCCAGCCCTGGCGTCGGTTACAGTAAGAATGGCGTCCTCACTGTCCAGGTCGCAGCGCTGATGACGCGGTATCTAGGTTGCAAACAGCTGTCACCCGGCGTGAGGGACGCAGCGCTGATGACGCGGCGTTGTTCGGTTGGACAGCGCTGAGCCCAGAAGTGATGTCACTCCCAGCAGCCACTGCTCCCCCGGCAAAAGTGACGACACACCCGGATGGGAAGATGGCGACAGCGCCGCAGCTGGCTGCAGTCCCGGATCGCTCTCACAGTTTATCAACCGTAACCACACCTCGTACCTTACCCACGTCCTTCTCCACTCACCACCACTCTTCTTACTTTCATCTTCCATTACATTTTTCATATAATTTATTTTGTTTTCATTATTTTCATTATTACTTTGGCGTCGCCCGAGTTTTGGGTGGCGGCCGATCCCTGCACCCAAACCCGCCCGCCTCCGTGTTCACTGCACACGCCTCGCGGCGCTACAACAGCCGACAAATGCCGTTTACTGCAGTGCCACACAACTCGCCTTAACTGCCGCATCGCACAGCTGTTGGGCAGTGCGAGTAAACGAGGCCTGTTGCTTCGATTCACGAAGCTGGAGGACGCTGGCTGTATTGTTCATGCGGCGTGGCTTAACATCCGCCCCGGGCACGGTTTCTACCAGCAACGTCCTCACAAGGCACCTCTTCCGGTACCATCAGCGACTGTGAGCTTGGCGTGCCCCAGCATCGCCAGCAAGTGGGAGATCTACGTGCTCCGTCCAACGTTCACCACCATCAGCGAATGGGAACGCGAAGCAGACTGTCATCTCCTCAACACGAGAGAGTTGGCTTGCCTGCTGCCCAGCACCACCAGTGAACGGGAGCTCTGCGAGGTACGTCCATCCTGCTGCACCACCTGCGAGCTGGAGCACAGAGCGTGGTCAGCTAATCCACTGGACTTCGTGTACTTCTGGCTGCTCCATTGTACGCCCCGCCTGCGTGGTTCTGTACGCCCGTGTACGCGCTCAGCGAGTGTTTACACGGGCGTGTTTGCATCCACTACGTACTGGGGAAGTGCTTGCTGATAGCGTGGAGCTTGGACAACGACACCTCGACTTGCTGCTCAGGGCAGCTGAGCCGCTGATTGGAGTCCATCCGAATCCGGGCCCCTTCATCCGCACCATCGTTGCAGCACGGGCTGATATAATAGGGCTACGACATGCACCGTCTCTTCATCATCTGCACCTGCAACCCGCACTCCTGAGGACGCTCTCTGTCCTTGGGCCTCTCCGAGGCCAACGTCGAAGACTGCATCGGCACCGTGGTTGCAGAGGTGGCAGGGGCCGCCGTTCACAGGTCGACCTCGAACCAGCCAACTCCTCTGTTCCCTCGACGCCTCACCTGCACGGATCTTCACATCTACCTTCACATATCCGCCTCGGTCTGCTCAACGCACGCTCCATCACCAATAAATCAGCCCTGATTCATGATACCATCTCGGACCACCACATCGACCTTTTGCTCATCACTGAGACCTGGTGCAGGCAAGACTCCCCGCCAGCTATCTCTCTGGAAGTTGCGCCCCCAGGATACAAGGTTCTACATAAACCTCGCGCAACTAACCAGCGGGGTGGTGGCTTAGCGGTCGTTTACAATGCTCACTTGAAAATTAAAGAGCTCCATCTACCAATGGCTCAGGCCACATTCGAGGTCCAGTCCGTATCCCTTACTACTAACAACGAGTGCTTTTACATTATTTCCATCTATCGCCGTCCAGATGGCAGCATCAACACCTTCGTAAATGAGCTTTCGGAATTCCTATATCTGATTCCTAACCCATCTCACAGGCTCGTGCTTACAGGCGACTTCAATTGCCCCGGCAATACCCCAGCCTCCATCGATAGTCACCTTGAGTCAACTTTGGCCTGCCATAACCTGGTCATCACAAACTCAGGCCCCACCAGAGCTTCGTCAACAAACGTTGAGAGCATGCTCGACCTGGTTCTGGAACCTAACCAACACCGACGCATCACTGCACTGGGAGTTTTCCAAACTGGTTACTCCGACCACCGCCTTATACTTTCTTCCCTCCAATTTCCGAAGCCAATCACCATCAAATTCACCCGCAACTTGCGTAATTTTAAGGGTATCGAATTTTCTGCTTTTCGTCACCTCCTTGCAAACTCGCTTTCAATGTTATCCCCATCATCGGATCCAACCGTCTGCGCTCTCCAACTAGAAGCTGACATGAGGGCGGCGCTGGACAAACTAGCTCCATTAAAATCACGAACCGCTACGCAGTCTTCTCACGACACTCACTGGCTCTCAAGAGATGCCATCATTGCTAAGCGAACCAGGAGGCGTCTTGAACGTATCGCATCCCGCAGTGGTCTACCTGCTGATCGACTTGCTTACAGAGTCGCCTGCAGGAAAACTAACAAACTGATCCTTGTCTCACGTTCCTCCCACATTGAGGAACGCATCAAAAAAGCAACCGGAAACCCGCGCATTCTATGGAAAACTCTCAAAGATCTTCTCCATCCTGGTAGCACTATGGTCCCTCACCTTAGCGATCCCCTTGCCTCACTGAAACTTGCCACCTCTTTTAATACTTACTTCAACAACAAGCTAATCGCCGTCGCAAACTCGTGCACGTCTACTGACATATTGCACCATTGTACCCCGCTCATGGTACCTAAAATTGTAAGCACTAACCCAGACACTCTTCTAACTATGCTAAAGCCTGTGTCTACAAAAGACGTTTTCGCTTTAATTGAATCACTTCCTTTGAAGTCATCTCCACTCGACGTGCTCCCAGGTTCCTTGTTCAAGCAATGTGCTCCGGAACTCGCCATCATGATCAGGAACATCGCAAATGCCTCCTTCTCTTCGGGGTGTTTTCCGTCCAACCTCAAATCTGGCCTGGTTTCTCCCTTGTTAAAGAAACCAAATCTAGATCCGGATGACCCATCTAGTTATCGTCCCATCACTAACCTCTCGAACCTCTCTAAACTCCTTGAACGACTAGCCCTCGCCCAGCTACAACCACACGTCACCTCCTCCGCAAACTACTGCAACTTCCAGTCAGCTTACCGTCAAAACTATTCCACAGAAACAGCACTCACTAGGGTGCTCGATGACATTTTAACGATCGTTGATTCCGGCTCAACTGTTGCACTTGTAAGTCTGGACATTTCGTCAGCCTTCGACACCATCAACCATTCGCTCCTTACTTCCCTCCTGAAATCCGACTTCGGTATATGCGGCTCAGCACTCAAGTGGATAGCTTCGTACCTTTCTGACCGGCAATCCTCAGTCAGGGTGGGCATGTCCACATCGCCTAAAACAAGAGCATTATGCGGGGTTCCCCAGGGCTCTGTTCTAGGTCCCCTGCTCTTCACAGCCTACACTTCCCCGATCGGCCGACTCATTGCAAGCTTCGGTGTTAAGCACCACTCATATGCGGATGACACGATTCTATTCACCCCCATCGATTCTAGCAATGCATCTGGATTCGAGAGGCTCTCGGAATGTACCACCGCCGTGCAACAATGGTTCACTGCACACAACCTAGCCCTTAATCCGAAAAAGTCAGTGGCCATCATGTTAGGTACCAAGCAACGTCTCAATTCAGCAGCACTCCCCACACACATACACATCTTCGGTCACAGCATCAAGTTCACCGACCACTTCAGCTACCTCGGTGTCATCCTAGATTCAACTTTATCCTTCGACCGTCAAACCAACCATATCATCAGCTCATGTAACTTTCACCTGAAGGCTCTTAGACACATACGTCCTCTCATCTCTACTGAAATTGCCAACATTTTGGCATGTTGCATAGTTGGGTCTCGCCTTGACTATTGTAACTCCGTCCTTGTCCGGACCTCCGCTGGCAACCTAAAGAAGCTTCAAAGACTACAAAACAACCTAGCACGCGTCGTCATTGCCCACACTCATCCCCGCCTCGACTCACTAGCTCGTCTCCGCGCTCTCAACTGGCTCCCCATTGCCAGTAGGGTCACATACAAGACCGCCTGCCTCTGCCACAATGCCTTCATATCCGCCTGCCCGCCGTATCTTTCTTCATTATTGACAACTTGCAGCTCAGCACACGGCAGATGCCTGCGCAGCGCGACTCACGACCTCCTCTCGATACCAAGATCCAGGATGGTCATGTCTACGCGCCGCTTCTCGGTGGCAGCCCCAACAGTCTGGAACGATATCCCTCTGCACATTCGCAGCATCACCTCAATCGCCTCCTTCAAGAGACACTTAAAAACTCACCTCTACAATCATGCTTTTGAGCGACTCTGAGCTTGGCTCCGCGCCTCTGAGTTGCGGCCACTACGTCTGCAAATTTGCGCGCGTTACAAATTGTACTATTATTATTATTAATGTAGTAACTTGACGGGAGACGACCTTACGGGTAGCACACTCTTTATTAACACCAGCTTATATTACACGGGTGGCTAACTGCAGCCTAACCCACGGGGTTCCCCTGGCTACACCCACACGGGCTCTTACGCCCCGTAGCTTCTCGGAACCCACCCGGCTGGGGTGTCCGTCTCGACTCTGGGTCCCACAGCCTCGTCCCACATGGACGTCAGACCACGGGTCCCACAGTCTCGCCTCCGAGCCGCACAGGGTCCCGGCCCTTACAAGGACAGCGGGACTAGGGGTCTCAGGGCCCTACCTCTTCAACTCCGTCTTCGATCTTCAACTGGTTATCAACTCCCGAGTGCTCCCGCGCGTCCTCCTTTATAGTCCTCCATGCGGACGTCGCTGAGAGCACCCATCCCAGTCGACCAATCACTGCGCGCTGCCCACGATCCTATTTCCCACATTGTGTCAGCGCGCACAACCACGCACCCCGCGCCGCCCCGTGATCCATCACTCTCGGCGCGTGTCAACTCCACCACTCTTGATGTAGCCACACCCGGCGCGCTCACACACACGCCGCCCCTTTGTCAGCGCGTACCGCCACTACATATACAAGGACTGTTTTCTTGGAATTTCTCTCACTTGATACAGCTGTC